CCACCTCCATTGTATCCTCGTCGTCTTCATCACTATCAACTTCATATGCCGCCCTCCATGCATGACCACCGACGCGTCTTCGAGAGTTGCAGTGGTTTGAGCAGTCGGCTAGATAGCCATCTAGTTCTAACTTCGCGGTACTGCAAGGACCATACTTGTTCGCTGGAAGCGAGGAGCCATAGTTGATCGCTTTCAGCATTCTGATGTTCCCGGATAGCGGGATCAACCAGGTCGGCGAAAGGCATGGCAGCGGTAGTAGCTTGACCTCCGGCTTGTCGCCCCCCGGCTAACTTCTGGACGATGCGAGCATCGATAAAGGTTTGGATACCGACAATAATGTAGGTCTTATGGCCGCGGAGAGCAGCATTTTCGATCCACTCTCTCGTTTCTGGGAGACTGACTGCTTTGTCAAACCATGCATCAGAATTGTCGAGGCAATAATTTTTGCCACGAGCTGGTGCTAGATGGACCTGGGATTGAGGACGTTTAGAAAATCCTGCAGATATCAGAGACGTCAAGGCAGACCCAAATTCCGTCTTTCTATTCTGCCGATTCTGGCTGGGAAAAGAGAACGGCGTTACAATGGCCTCAGGTACGTCACCAGTTGGAGGCTCGTGATAACCTTCGAGTGGGTGGTTGATGTTTTGGATGAGTGTGCCCAGTCCGACGGACTCAAGTGGGAGGAAAAATGGAACAACTGTCGCGACCATACTGAGAAGACTTTTTTGAGGGACGAAAGGCGAGAGGACGATTTGCTATCCCAATTGTGTGGACATACGAATAAGTATTATCTCATATGGTACGAATCTTCCCGCCGGGCTGCTTATGAAAGGGCACCGATTACTTGTACGTGATTACATTACGCAAGTCTTTCTAGTAATCTCCTGAGGAGGCCGCCTGGGGAGGCAGTGCCTCCACGGCTCGGAGAGGCAAAGTGAATGAGCCACCGCCAAAACAGCGAATTTAGCTCTGTGGCTCGTCTCTGCGTTGCATTATTCAATCTTCGTCCGTGCCAACCTAGACCACCCAACTCTTCTATTCCTAATTGTCGTGTACCCCTAATTGTCGCCTACGCCTTGTCCACTTCTCAAGTATCTGTCTATCTCCGGTTCATTCCCTTTCAATCCATATTAAGACCATTCATTTGTCACTTTTCGATCGACGATCTGTACACGTATAAACGCACTCTTATGGTAAACCTAGTCTTTGCACCGCAGTGCAGCAGTTTGATAACAAAGAAGGCCGTTAACTGGGAGTAAGCTGACACTCAAGGTTCGAAATAGGCAATAGCGGTGGCCATTATTCTACGGGAAGAAACATCGATCGCTAGTAGACCATAAAATAGAAGATAAATATATGCATGAAATCAAGAAAGTTGCTAGTTGAGTCATTACTGGTAAGCAAAGCATTCTTATCTCCTCTTTAATTCAAGAGATCGCTAATGTCTCTCTTGGCGTTTCTCTTGATGCCGCACTTGTTCAACCAAGCATCAATACCGAGGGCAATATTCGCAGGAATATGACTGCGGAAGGACTCAATATCCTCTCCTTCAATAGTCTGCACACCGCCCAGGGTAGCTTGAACCACATCGCCATTTAGAGCGAAGAAGCTCTGAGCGATCCGGTTCACACCAGGATCAGCATTGTCAAATGCAGCAATAAACACGGCATCTTTGCAATCAGGGTTGAACTCTTTATGGATAGCACCCTGGGGAAACACAGTCATCTGGAATGCGTCCGTGGTGTTGGCAATAGGCTTGGCACCATTCTCGACAACGAAGCTTGTAACAAGGCGGCCTTTGACGACAATGTTAAGCTCCGTTGCTCGGTTGTGAACATGTGCTGTGTTCATTCCACAGGGTCCGAGGAAGGCGACTGTCATGGACGCTCCATTGCCGATAAGAGCAGGCATGGTCAGAGCAGTAGCTGACACAGACCTGCCTCCTTTGCCATGGGCCTCTCCGGCTCCGGTGCCAGCTTTGGAGTCAAAGACATAATCGCCAGGCTGATTTAAGAGCTTGGCTCGCTCGGCCTGAGTAGGGTCGGTGATGATTCTGGAAATAAAGTCCCTGTCTCCGCTTCGCGTGCTGACAGGCACAATGTGAGGAAGCATGTAATCAACACTGTCACCTCTAGGCTGACGAGAAGACGACTTAGTAGCCTAGGGAGCCGTGAGGGTAGAGCCAGCAAGAAGAAGGATAGAGATTTCATTTTGGAAAAATGATGG